TATGTACAGAATGTATCGAAATAAATTTTTTTCGAAAAGAAAATAAATTAGCAAGAAAATAATAACTCATAAAATTTTTTTTTAATTTAAAAAGAATTTATTTAAAAAAATTAAATAAATAAAAAATTAATATCTTTATAACTTAATTAAAAAATAGTCTATATAAATTTTTTAATAAATTTAAATTTTTTTTATAATAATTACACTTTTAACAATATTCGAAAACTTCTAGCCTTAACTTTTTTAATTCAAATACAGAATTTGAAATTAATCCGCAACTGTTCGCACTTGTTCAAACAACTAATCATTTCAGTAATTTTACTTGGGTTATTAATTTTTCTGCCCCAAAAATGTATGTTTTTGCATTTTATGGAATAATAACAATTTCGAAAATTTCATGTGCCACTTTCAAAGTTCGATTCAGCCACAAATGAAGCATATAGCAATAATTAAAAATTCGCAATTTGCCATTAAGTGATTATTTTTATTCTGTGAATGCGAATTTTTATGATATTATGCTTTTAGAGATTTGTGGCGGCAATAAAAGTGTGCTTGTTTACAAAAAAAAATTTTTTTAAATAAAAAATAAAAATTATAAAACTAATAAAAAAATATTTAAAAATTAAAAACAAAAATTGAAAAAAAGAAATAAAAAAGTTATTTAATAAAATTCAAATAAATTAAAACAAATTTTAGTTTATAAAAATTATTAAACAAAATATAAAGAAATAGAAAATTAAAAAAAAAAAAAAATATTTATATTTCTGCATATCCACATACCAACAGACCACCAGACATGCAGTCGTACAAGTATAATATATATTAACTGCATATACATATGTGTACACTTGTCTTAGATTAGCGACAACAAAATATTGGCGTTCAACACCCACTCGTGATGACGTTTTTACAATCGTAAATTTTTTGAATATTTGCTCGCATATCAAGGCATATATATGTGTATATTCACATATATAATTGCATATTTACAACTATTTATATACTTATAGTTAAGGTATGAATTTATGACTTGTTAATGTGTGCTTTCTGAGAGATTTGAAATTCTTTAATTGAGAACACTCAGATAAGCGATTAATAAATATAAACGATAATATAAACGAGTTTAAATATATATAATATTAAAAATTATAAAAGAAAATTTTAATATATATAAAAAGTTGTTTTTTTTAAATATAGAAAATATAAATACTTAAAAATGATTAGAAAAATATAAATAAACAATTAAATTTGATATTTTAAAAATAAAAAACATTAAATAATATATATAAAATAAATAAAAAAATATAAATATGTATAGAAAAATATAAAAATTTAAATAAAGAATAAAAAACATTACAAAAAATATAAAATATAAATAAAATCTTATATATTGAAAACATATATTAAATAATAAATAAAAAAGATAAAATTATAAAAAATTAATAAATTTAAAAAAATATGACTATACAATTTTTTAAAATTTTGCAACCAGTAATTACATTATATATTAAGAAACACTCAATAAAATAAATAATTTATCTTAAAAAATGTTAGGCAATTTTTAAAAATATATATACATATGTGCTTAACTAAGCTTAGAGCTCAGGGATCTACTTAAGAGGGAACTTCGAAATTATATTTAAGCATTTCCATCTTTAATAAATTCAGATAGTGGCCCTATACACAGCCTAGTACATATTTCTAATAATTTCTTACGCTCCCGCAGCAGTTACAGGCAATTTTTTCTTTGCGCTAGCCTTCGTATTATTCAAAAAATACTCAGATAATTTTTTTTTTAATATTTAATGGATCGTCTAACTGTTTTTCACTCCAATTTAATTTTCGAACTCATTCTAAGCTCCTCCTTAGATTGTGATTTCTTCATCCTCTTACAATTTTCCAAGCATAGGTCTGCTTTTAGGCGCTCAAAATGAGAGATTTAATGTATGTGAATTAAATTTCCACCTTTTCAGCTTTTCTCATGAATGTCTTCAATATTGTTTAATGCATCATCACAGATTTAGTTATAGAAACCACGAAATCAGCGAAACTATTTATTGCTCTTTTCCACACCATTCCAAAAGCAAACGTAAGACAAATATTGCCTCATTAATTCATTTCATTAATTTTTTTTATTGCATCTGGCTACTCTGGACAATGTTTTCATTTGTTACTTGCCTACACGCACTCATTACTCCGAAATTAATTTTTACAAAATATGCTTGCCTCTTTGCAATTTTCTATTGCCTGGCAGTGTTGTTGTTGTATTTAAATTTTCACCTCGTCTATGGCACTGCCAGTAAAGCGGCATTGTTTATTTACGATTGCTGGAACTGCTAACGGATTGGAAAAAAATTAATTAAAATTTTAGATTTTGCACACTTTGGAAAATGGGTTTCCGTAATAACAACGTCAGTTTTTTGGATCGATTCATCAATGAGGCATCGCCGCTAGCGTGGAAGGCGGATCAATGACGCCAGGAATGAGTGATGTGTAGAATTGAATTGAAGATATATTTATATATGAATAGTAAACACGTATATATGTGTGTATACATACGTCTCTGTATATATATATTATTATATATATATAATTTTTTTTCTATTTCAAACAATTAGCACTTTTCACGCTTAGCTCACATTCGAGGCGTTGTTTCGATTTTATTTAATCATTGAGTAGATATGTATACATAAAGTTATATATGTAAGTACGCATATGTGTGCGCTTGCAATTGAAATTAAAACATTTTGACTGGTTATTTTCATTGCAATTATGTGCTTCCACTATTTATTTATGTTATGAGTGGTTTATGACAGCTTGTTTTCCTTTTGTGCAGTAAATATTTGAACGAAATCTCATTGACTTCTTCACTTTTCCTTATTTATTTGAATTTCATTGCTTTATTTTAAGCGGATTTTCAATGCGTTTAGGCGCCTTCGGGTGCATGGCAAAGAATCAATGGTATTGCTTAGATGCATCTAGTAGCCTCTTTCGAACAAAATTTGAGGAAAAATATACAAATATTTGCAAATTTATTAAGCTAAATATTTATACAAGTATTGGATAAAATAAAAAATTTAAAAAAAAATTCATATGAACTAAAAGCAAAAATAATAAAAATTATATTAAAATAAAAAAGTTTAAATGAAATAATTAATAAATAACAAAAATGAAATCATAATAAAATGTATTAAAATTAAAAATAAATGAAGTAATTTTAAAAAATATTAAAATAAAAACAAACAAAAAAGTTACTTTCGACAGCAAAAAAACTATAATAACCTTCACAGGTGCATTTCTTATAGCATGAAAGGCTAATAAAAATGATATGGATCAGTCAGTTTGTATGACAGCTATATATAATACTATAGTGATCCGATCTAAAAGATATGTTCGCAGATTGTACCATTGTCTTACGCAATAGTCAAATTTCTTGAAGATATCTCGTCAAATAAAAAAGTTTTCCATACAAGAACTTGTTTCATATGGTTCAGTTCGTATGAAAAATATATGTTATAGTGGTCCGACATCGGAAAACATCGAAATAAGCAGCTTCTTCTAGAAAAAAGCACGTGCGAAATATTTCAGACCGATAGCTCGAAAACTGAGGAATAATTTCGCGTATATACAGAGAAGGAAACGGATATGGGTAAATCGACTCAGCTGGTCACGCTGATCATTTATATATGTTTATACTAATTAGTAAATTTATATAATACTAGTAAATTTTGACAGAATAATGGTAATGAAGTTGTCGATTTTTGTTATCGAAGCAAACATTTTCAATTAGTAGATTAGTAGCAGATTTGAATATGGATGACGAGCTCTTCCATGTTTGAAATAAATTCGACCGTTGGTGTTTACTAAATAAAAAAACAATTTTTGCCGATTTTTAACTTCCCGCTAAGAAAATGGAAAAATCGGGAAGATATTGGTTTCACCCCATTTTGCAAAAATCGAGTTCTCAACAGATCTCGACGTTCTGAGGGTCGAGGAAGCTTCCCCGAACATTTCTACGATGATGTCCGTATGTCTGTATGTATGTGTGGATGTATGTGTGTGTGTGTGGATGTATGTGACCCTCTTATAACTATTAAACTGCTCAACCGATTTGAATAGCAATTCCAAAGGGTTTCATTGCACTTGAATTTCGTGTAAGTTTGAAGCCAATCGGACCAGTATATTTCGAGAAATCTCAAAAATTTTGAAAAATCGTTTTTTTCGAATTTTTTCCAAACGACTTGACCGATCGACACCAAAAACTAATCAGTTCTAAACCTTGAAAAACACACCGCAAACCGGGTCGAAATCGGTTGATTTACTTGCTAGATATCGAAAACGAAAAATTTCGAAGAGCTCAAAAGCAGTGAAAAAAGCGAAATTTGAACGTTAGCGTATGAAATTAGAGGGAAGTTGCAGGGATGGCCCTTGAGGCCAACCGTTTTCCACATTTTTTTTGTTTATTGCCAAATAATATATTTCAATTTTCACTACAATGTATGCTAAAGCGTTAAAATAACTTAGCTTTGCCTACATAAATGCACTTTAATAAAATATTCAAAATTTTGTATTCCAAGCATTTTTATCATCGATTTTGTATAAAAATATCACCCGACAACACTGTGCGCTGAGTAGCTAATCTTGCAACCGTAAACTTCAGAGCTTTCACAGAGTGTAAGTATGCACAAAAAGCTCGCGGGAATATTTATACAAATAATTCAAAATTTTTTGTGTTCACCGAACACAGCTATAAACATACCTATATAGAATTTTTCTGGTTATACAAATATTTATCAGCTTTTACAGCTTCAGAAACAAAATATTTTAAATTGATTTAATGTGGTAAAATCATAGAAAATTTATTGAATATCAAAATATTTATCTCATAACAGGACTTAATGGCCCAAATGTTAAATGATTTTCACGCCATAAATAAGTTTCACCTAATTAATCACACATGTGCCGCCCGAAGCATTTTGTGGCAAGTAAAATATTGTTTTATAAAAATATATGGGGTAAGAGAGAGTGCAAGTCAGACAACATTAAACAGCTGATCGCAATTTAAAACAACAACAAACAAATAGCAAAACAACAATAACACATGCAAAGCAAAGCAGAGAAAATTCGACAAATTTCCTCATTTCCACAAAATTAAAAAATAAAAACAAAAGCAAAACTCACCAACAGCGGCAACGGCTGTTCAAAATCAGTTTATTTTCAGACAACGAGGCGAGCGCTAGTGGCTAACGAGCAACCGTGAATAGAAAAATGACACGGCGGCGCGTTGAATATTAGATCGGCATATATATAAATATAGTACATATTTTTTTAACAAATATAAGCAATTTTCATAAATTAATTTCATAAAGTTTCACCGTTGCCTCTAAGATATGCAACAGCATGTAACGGTATTCTAAAGCTGCGTATGTGGTTTTTTTTGAATTTTTAAAAGTGGGAAATCCATGCAGTCAATTGTATGTATATATGTACGTGTGTGCATATTCCAAAATTTTTCGGTGTCAAAATGGTCGAGTTATAATTATAGAATTTGGCATTCGGAGCGGTGGTGCTGAAAAACGATGGATTTTGAAGAAGCATTGTGAATTTTCGTGTGAAACTACAAGCAAAAGAGAATATGAATAAGGATGTCGAAATTTTATGGGTGCAATTAAAAATAGATGCAAATGAAGTGTGTGAGAAAAGTATAGACTTTTTTAAATGCAAATATATATGAAAAATGAAAATAAAAGAGTGAAATAGCATAATAAACCAAAAAAAAGTGAATAAAAAGTAAGAAAAAATAGGGTAATCAAAATCAAAATAAAGAAGAGGGTTTCATGTTATAAATGATATAAATATTATCAAAAAAAAAAACAACTAATTAAAAATAAAGAACAAACACTAGTCCAATAATAATTAAAACAATGAAACAAATGAAAAATAATAGAGAATATATAGCACAATCTCAATATATAATAAAACAAAAAACCAAAATAAGAAAATAAATAAAAATAATTATTTAGAACAAAAACATATATGCATATGTTTGAAGCAAAAGTTTGTCAAAAATTCAAACAAAATAATAAAATAATTTTTTTTTCAACTTAAAAATAAGTAAAAAAAAATTATAATTTTAATTTTATATCCTTCATAATTATTATTTTTCTTCCTGCAAATAAACCAAAATTTAAAAAAAAGTATATTAAAAATTATATATGCTATCACAAATTAAAAATAAAATAAAAATTAAAATAAATTTATAGTCAAGACATATATTTTGTTAAAAATTTGACTAAACTATTAACAAAAGAAATTTATTTTAAAAAAATATTTGAATAATCTAATAATTTTTTTATGAAAAATATAATGCGGAAAAATTTAATAATAATAAAGAATATAGATGCAATCAAATAAATAAAAAAATTTAATAATTAAAAATAATAATTAGAATAAAAAGTATCTATAAAAAACACACTTTTTTAAGAAGCTTACAAAAATTTTAAGAAAAAACTTAAAAAGTTAAATAATTGTAATTAAAAATTCATAATAATTTTAATTAAAAATTCATAACCATTTTAGTTAAAAATTTAAAATAAATTTTAATTTTAATTAAGCCAGATAATTAATTAATTATAATTTAATCAATTAACCGGATAATTAAGATTATTATTAATATTTACTCCTTTCAAATTAAGTTTGTTTAGAAAAAATTTAAATTAAAGTCAGAAAACATAAAATCAAAACAAAATCATTATAGATGAACTAAAAATTAATAAAATTGAAACGAAAATCAAAACTAGAATAAAATAAATAAGAATAAAATATTAATAATTAAATTTATTCAATTTAAATGAAAAACTTTCATTTTTTAAAATTAATAATTTGGATGTTAGAAATTGTCTATGAACAAATTTATTGTTCAAAATTTAAATAAATAAAAAAAAATGAATTAATTCAAATTGAAATAATTTTTTACCTTTCCTAATTAATTTTTTTTAAGTAAAAGTTATGTTAGAAAAAATATAATTTAAAAAATTTAGTGTACGGATGCAATCAAAACTAACATAATAGAAACGAGAATTAAAACTGAAAGTAAAAAAAAATAAATAATGCAAGTTATTCAATTAAAATTTAAATTAAAAAATATTGTGTGTCAATTTTTGCGTTTAACTTTTTTTAACTAAAAATATGTAAAGTTAAGTCGTTAAAAATACAAAACTATAATAAAAATTTAACAGAAACATGAGTTTAAAGAAAATAATTTAATAATTTAAAAACAAAATTTCATATTTAATTTTTTTACTTATATTTCTTTAATTAAACAAAATTAAAAATAAATATTTATTCACTATTAGATTATATGTCAAGTAAGAAGGCAGAAGGTAATAACTAAAAATTAATTGTAATTAAGAAAAATAATTTTTATTAGAACTTAATTAAAATAAAATTATTAAAATATTAAAATTTATAAAATCACACAAACAAATATTTAAAAAATTTATTAATTTAATAAAGTTAAACTAAAATTAAAAAAATAATAATAATTTCTATAAAATATTAATATATTCTTCAACAACAACAACAAAAATAAATATTAACAAAAAACAAATTATAAAATTAATAAATATATATAAGTTAGAAATAATATTTTATTAATTTTTAAAAAATAATTTTTTTTGAGATTTTTTAAACTACAAAAGAAAAACCGAACTTTTTAAGCAAACACTAAAAATTAACTAAAAAGTATATTGAGTTACATTCAAGGATAACAAAATAAAAAAACAAACATATTTGCCCTAAACCTTCAAATCAGGCGCTTCACCAACACACAACGATGGAGCAATCAGAAGGCGTTACGGTGCGACGCCGACACCGAAAGCTAACGCGACCGCAACGTGAGAAAACACCCGATCCAACAGCAAAAGGCCGACGTCGCTATTCAGAAGACGAAAGCAGTGCAGTGGATGGGAACACAGCTTCCGAAGACGCTGCCGGCGTGCAAAGCGTACGCATGCAAATTCGGCCACCCGGCGCCATATCGGCACACGAGAGTAAAATATTGCGACGACGCGATAAGACATTCGCCAACTCGGCCGCACGCAGCCACTCACAGCCACGTGAAGCCGAACGACTCACCAGTCCCGAAGCGGACGTGCTCATGCGTAGTGCGAAACAACGTAGTCTCTCCTCGCCGCGGCACAAGGACGAGTCCAGCGGAGGTGAGCACAACGGCAGGCAAGCGCACGCGACTGTCGATGAGAACATTAGCCGTTTGGAGCAGAATTTGCGTCGCTTTGAGGAGGAACGTAAACGCTTCGAGTCGGACAAACGTCAATTTGAGCGCGAGAAACGTGAAAATCGTTTGCGCTATAAACAGCTGCACGACAGCGATGAGCGCAAGCGTCTTTTGCAGAATTATCGTAAACTAAGTGATCGCATACAATTGCCAGCAGACGCTGAGGAACGACGCCGCATGGTGCACAGTTTGCGTCTGCAACGTAATGAAGCGCCAACACTGCAGCCACGTCAACGTCACAGCGGTTACGAAGAGTCCTCCACACAATTCTCCTCATCCGAGGTAGACGATGTGGAGGAATCCAGAGCACATAGATTGGAAAAGCATACGCATCCTGTGCGCCGACAAGTGTCAACCATTACGGGCGCAGTAAATTATATAGCCGACGTGCGTGGTCCACCACCACAGCCGCCAGAACGCCGCAGTGTTAGTCGCAATCACTCACTCTCACCTATGCGACCACAAAGGCGTTCGAAGACACCGGAACAGCGCGCGGAAATAATGCGACGGTTAGCCGAAAATGAGGGCAATAACAGTAAGTCAAATAGTATAACACCAGAGCCGCAGAGTCCAGCCACACCCACGGAGCATAAGATGCCCGAATATCCAAAGTCACAAATACCAGCCGAAATGGGTGAAGTGCGTCGACGTTACAGCACGCCACGCAAAGATTCGCTTACCGAAATTGCCAAGCGTAGGAAGCAAAGCTTAGAAAAAGCACAGCTAGAGGCTGCAATGCTGGCTGCGGTCAAAGAAGCAGAGGCCGCTAGGTTAGAGGAGGAAGCACGTAAGGCTGCAGCTGCTGTGCCGCTAATGGTAACTATTCTCCGTAAAATATTCGCATTATTCACTAGTAAACGTGCAGACAAACCAGAGTCCATAACAAAAACTGAAGTTCATTACGCATCCGAAGAGTTGCTTTTGCCACAGGATTTAATTGCCGAAGATCTACCTAAAAATTTGTTATCGAAAGAACTGATGCGGCATCTCTACTTGGACGTGCGTCAGCAATGGCGACGCATGAAAGCCGATTTTCCAAAAGAGTTAAACACTATTCGGTTGTTGCGTAATAAATGTGTCGCAGAGATGATTCTGCTTATTTTGCTTTGTGGTTTCGGTGGTCTGATGTTCCGTTACACCGAGGGTAGCTCAGAGAATATCTATAAATGCGAAGTGCGTAAGGTGAAACGTGACTTTATCGATAATTTGTGGACAGTTAGTCACAATATGAGGTAGACAAGACTAACCGCACTTTACAGTAATTTGTATGCAACTTATTGTCTTTTGCTTTCTTCATAGGGAAGACGATTGGAAATCGCTAGCACGTCAGAAGCTACGGAAATTCGAAGATGAACTTAATTCACTCGCTGAGTTGGGTATACGTCGTTACCCGGGTCAGAAATCGTGGAACTTTGTAAATTGTATATTATTCTGTTGGACCGTTATAACAAGCATAGGTGCGCTGTTGTTTATTCTATAAATTTATGTTCTCTATTTTGTTCGGTGCTGCAGTAGCCTACTATTCGAATTCAGCTCTGATTTTCACTCTATTTTGGTGTCAGAGCTATTCTCTTTAAATAGCATAAAGAGGTTAGGGTGAACTACTTCATGTCTAGTAGACTTGATGCTAACTGCTTCTAGATAAATTGACGGATGTTTAAATACTGTCCTTTACGAAACTGAAACAAGTACAGGAAGCCGCAATTACAAACTTCTAGAGTTGATTCGAAGCTCGCCTATTCCAGAAAACGTAGCATATAGCCAGAGAAACCTCAATGCTGCGGAAAGATTGTGTTGTAGGTGCCCTGACTATCCGGCTGAGCCTTGTGGTTTTTGTTTTAGTTAAATCACTCAAGGCCCATTGTGCATTTACGAGAGAGGAGGTTGGCTCAAGAAGTATTGTCAAATCAAGTATTGAGCTCAAAAACGCCTTAGAACCAGTAATAAAGGTGTGCTTAACGTTAAAAATAGAGTCTACTCTGATATCAAGTCAGTCAGAGAGGCCTCTATGTAAAACCTATAAATCATACCGGGCGGTGAAAAAAAACTTAAAGTTTTCTAATAAATATCGAGCCGTGAATATTTGGTATGCTTTCACACTCTGATCCCAAATATTGTGTTATTTGAACGCCTTTTTACGCAAACTTCTTGAAAGTCATTTTTGGAGAATTATGCGTACTTATTTTACGATACTAAAAATTTTTTAATGAATTTTTTATAACGCTAATTTATTCAATTTCACTTTTCTCATTTTAGGTTATGGTCACATTGCACCCGTAACAACTCTGGGCCGTACTTTGGCCATCGTCTATGCCATCATTGGTATACCACTGTTCTTACTCATTCTTGCAGATTATGGTAAACTCTTTACGCGTGCGCTGAAATTCCTTTGGGTCTATGTACGACGCTTGTACTATACCGGAACTTGTCGCAATATACGAAAACATCAGTCGGTACGTGATGCCATGAAATTGGCACGACGCTCGAGTATGTTCTTCGGACGTGAAATGGATATTGAGTCGCGCACAACCGGACCCGAAACACCATCGTCACCATTCGATGAGACCTTCGAAATAGATGATGAATTTAATTTACCCATTTCAGTGGCGTCATTCTTGCTGATCAGCTATATATTGATTGGTGCGCTATTCTACTCCATGTGGGAGAATTGGAGTTACTTTGAGGCATTCTATTTTGTCTTCATCTCAATGTCCACCATTGGTTTCGGTGATATGGTGCCGAAACATCCGATATTCATGATGTGTAGCATACTATATTTGGTCTTCGGTTTGGCGCTCACATCTATGTTCATCAATGTGGTGCAGATTAAATTAAGTGATACCTTTAAGCAAGCCTCAATTAAGCTTAGCACTACGATCGGCATAGATTTGCCGCCGGATGAGAATGCTGAAGGTGCGGCTGAAAACGCAGAAGCAAGCCCAAATGCGGCGTTGGATACGAAAATGTCACCAACGAGTACGACGCCGGCGAATGAGATTGATCTGAAAGTGCCGCCGCTAGCGCCACCACGTCCGAACAGCAACAATGTGCGTGAGGGCGAAAGTCCGCCACCGCTGCCGAGTCGCAAGCCAGAAGTCGAGTCGAGTGAAGTTAAGAAAAAGGGTTGGCGATTTTGGTAGACAAAATGCACTTGCGTAGTATGACGAAAGCAAGCTTCAATGGCTTTTAGCGCGGTTTTTTGTTTGAAACTATTATTATTTGTGGCGCATTGAAAGCTTAAAGTTTCAACGAAAGCGTTTAAATATACGTGTACTTCGCCACAACTGCAACTAACTGTGTCTTTTACGAATCTCTATCAAAGCTTAGAAAAGGCTTGAGAGCTTTAAGTTTGACTGCACTTATGATACACTCGTAATTATTAAGACCTCTAAACTCTTCCATCCGCACATATCACCGACGAATGCTCATATATGACAAAAAATATTTGCCCTAGTTTTAAGTTCAGTTGGTGAAAAAATATTTGTATACTAAATATATTAATTTTTCTTACTAAATATAAATGTATAAATATGTAAGCGTTTACTGCATAAGCCTGAAAGTTTTAGTTTTGAGCTTAAGAACCACAACCAAAGAATTTTTTTTCAATAAATTAAATTTTTCATTATTTTAATTGAACTAATAAAGACGCGCATATGCCAAAAATGATATGCAAATAAAAACAATAAATTTATTTTGTAAAATAATAATAATTTTTTTAATAATAATTTGTTTGACAATTTTTTTTTAATAATTAATTTTTTTAATAATATTTCTTTTTTAATTATTATTATATTTTCGTTTTGCTTTTATTGGTAATCATTTGTTATTAGATTTTTAAAAATAGTTATTTTTAGCATAAAAGTTTTATAAAATGTGTAAGTATTTACTTAAGATTTTCGAAATAAAATGAAAAACAACAAAAAATAGCGTTTTTTTTTCAAATATTTAATAGTTTGCATTATTGTATAACTAATTTCATACATTTTTTTTCTATCACATACACATTTTATATTTAAAAATTTGGTTAATTGTAGTTTTTAGGTACGTAGTCAGCAACACTAAAAATATACCCCAATTTCCCACTTGACTAATACTTTAAAATATAATAAAATTTAAAAATATAACAGTAAAAAATCAACCTGAAAAAATTTTTTGTAATTAAAGCCCTGTTGGAAAATATATTTAACGCATGCAATATATTTGAATACTTTCGCTGGAAAATCAATCCAATCAACTATTTATTTGTATATATTAATTTAAAAAACAAAAAAATTAATAAAAAAAACTTTATTTTTGCAATTCTAACGAAATTCTACGTGAGTAGATTCAAAGAATTCAAATAGTAGACAACATTTTAACATTTAAACAAATTTTCAGCAAATACCAGTATTTTAATAGCATTTAAGGTTCCGCGCTGAAGTATTTTCCCTAATAAACTTTATAAAAAAATAAAAATTATAGGAAAATATATAAAGAGGTAGTTTCAGCACTTATTACAAATATTTTGATTTCCTCAGTTTGAATAACACTGTGAATGTAGTATATTTAAAAATTTTAAGAAAATCAAAATTTCAAGCCACTTATTAAATAGTTTTGAAAGCAATGCATAAGGTCGATATTAAACAAAATCGTTGCATACATTTAGGCCGCTGGTTTGAACAGGTTTATTATACCAGAGAATGTAAATGAATATTCATTGTCGTTCTCTGATTATGCTTGTCAGATTTTTTATGCTTTTGATTATATATTATTTATACGTTTTCTTTCATAAATAATTTTTGTATGTGTATTTAAATTTAATTTAATTGTATTGTATTGTTTAATGCATGCTTAATTTACTTAGTAGTAGCTAGCTACAGCTGTTACAAGTGAATAATTTAATGTTTAGTTAATTGTTTTCACAATATCCTTTTTATACTCATAAGCAAATTATAAGTAAGAAATACCTAACTTAGGTTGTCTTCCTAGTCTTTATTTTAAGTTTTGCAAATATGGAGTTATACTTCAACCAAATGCTCTGTGATTGGTCGATTGTAGTGGATACACGTTTATATCTCAAGTATTTGCTACACTTTTGCATGAAAAAATCGCAGCGTTCAAGTAAGTATACTGACAGTAGAGACAGCGAGTGTTAATGAAGCTAGAGAAAAGAATGTATATGAATGGGTAAAAAGATAGTAAGATATAATTTAAGCGATTATAACTATACAAATCGAATTTGGTTTTTACATACATATAGGACAATGCTCAAATGACAAGGTTGTAGGCAATTAAAAGATTTCAATTTTTGTATTCACACTTTCTTCACGTAACCTCAAAATTTATGTGAAAAATTCAAATATCCAAGTTTTTCACTTTTTATGACAGGTTCCTTGGGGTCAAGCATTAATATCTTTTAAAGGGTTAGGCTTACGAAAAAATCGTATAGCATTAAATATATCTTTTCAAGTAGTTGGAAGCGAGATATAAATATATATCTCTATCTGATAATAAGAAAAAATATAAAACTGGAGATATTTTCGTAGAGGTGTCTAAGAACCTATTTTTCAGAGTACCAAGCAAAAAAACATTTTGTATTATATTTGAACCACCCTAATGTATGTATATACACATGAACATATGCAACAAAACCAAAGCGACTACCTTCTGAGCGGCTTTGTAACTTTGCACATCCTAATATGAAAGCAATAACAGACAAAATACCTAGACAAAATATGCATAAAAACTGACCAGCTCTTATATTACTAGTTTTTATGTACATAATTAAATATTTTTTAAATTACGATTTCTCTGATTTTTATACTCGCTCTCTTCTATGTCTGCCACTTTGTTCATCGCCATTGCAAAAACGAGCCGCATTACATAGAATCATGCATGAGATATTAAACGAATATGATTGGCGCATGGCATGCGGTGTATTTGTAGTTGCTTATGGCTTTACTCACTGGCATAACAACAACAACTCATGCGTGCAATGGCTGCTGAGTAGCTTCAAAGAAGTGACGTCACCGTTGAGCGAGCTATAGTTGTCTCTTTCACGTAATGATCTTTCGAATTTTCGGAAAAACAACAACAAAAGAAAAGAAATATTGAAAGAAACAAATAATTTGCATATTGCTAGCAATTTCAATGGCGAAGCAGACATTAGTTTACCTTTGTTCACATGAGGTATAAGTAGCTGTGCATTATTTCGGATCATGTTGTGATTTTCGAAATATAATATAATAATTATTTTATACCTTCAATTCATCGCCAATCGGTGCGTTGAAAAGACGGAATAAATTAGATCGTTTAAAGGAAGCTGACTAAATTAGTATACTATCAGCTGAAAAAAAATAGCAACACCAACGAGCCAGTAGAATGAAACGTCGCGTCTTAAGACCAGTATAAGCAACAAATGTTGGCAAAATATTTTGTTTAGGTACTACACACTTTTAGAAGCGACCATTGCAATTCGATCGGAATGAATGCACAAAACTACACTTGGGCAACATTAAGGCTGGATGAATGGTTTCTTAGCTCTACATCGGAAATTTTTTTTTTTAAACCGAAGGCTTTTTATCTTTAATATGAATATAGTAATTAGGTATAATTTGGAAATTGGCTAAAATATGGAACTAATATATGGAACACAAACAATACCGCTCTTATCACCGCGTAGTTTCAGAAATCACTACCAAGAATAATACGTGAAAGTTATCACTAAATAGAAGTGGTACCGAAAAATCAATTCAAACCTATATGAAAGCATACTCAAAACTTCATATCATCATTCGATATATTACAAGGATTTGAACTTTTATATAATTTATTGTTAAATTTTTAGTGTTTTATATAAACATCAACTCATATACGTACTTTTTTTAGTTCTTTATTAACTGTTAAACATAACCTCACGTTAGCAGTACCGCTCAATTATAGCATGCCGATTTATTCAATTTCAAAACCGAAGATCAATGTCGATGATGATGCTAGCAAAGTGTCTTTCAATGCAATATTAAACGATCAACTACTTGGCTATTGAGGATTTAAAAAAAAGTAAAGTGTTCTAAGCAAATCACAAATTAAATAAGGATTCATTTTCAAGAATCAAATGATAAATATTTCAAAATAAAAATAGCTAGATGAAAACATAATCGGCTGTTAGCCAGATAAGCACAAAATGTCTTATATTTATTTACTTTACCATTTCAATGTAAATATAAAATAATTTCGAAGGTCATTAGATATATTTACCAATTATGATCAAGTCAAGGTCAACAAATCATTATTTATTTCTTAAGTTGCGTAAAACGGCAACGCCATAGAATACATACATGCACATTTATACATGCATACTTGTATTTATGCATTTTCGTACTTAGTTCTAAAACCTCGCCTATTTTCTTAGCCTAATTGATGGTGAACGCATAATGACGCGCGGCGAATTCCCACGCGGAAAGTACGCTAATCATTGTAAATCCCAAACGAGGGGCAAACCCGCGACTTTACGACAGACAATAGACGGCATTTATGGAATTTTAGCTACGTGTGTCTCACTAAGCATAAGCAGAAGAAAGGATTAGAAGTCAAATGCAGTAATAATATTATGATTACTTCATTGTGTCAGGTGATCAAAACAAATGAGATGAGGCGCTTTATAACTGGAGTGGTAAGGATTTCCCAATGTATGAGAGTCAAAAAAAGCGAAAAATTATTTGGGAGTTATGCTTTCATTCATAATCATCATTTAAAGGCAAAATGTGTAGAAAAGAAATTTTATAATCGATAGATTGATTCAGATTTCAACTATTCCATCAACCAATATCTTCCAGCAAATTAAGTAGAGTTGCCATCAACCATTAACTATCTATATAGTATATATGTATATACATTTTAATATATTTAATTTAATTTTCGATTAAGCTCGAAGTCAAACAGCTAAAGAATTAACATGAAAAGTTTACTTTATAACTTCAGAGCATGACCAGGCTCGAACTTCAGCGTTGTGGGCTTTGCTAAGGTTTTGAGTGCACTAAGCTTGTTGGAAATGTTTATTATATTTTTTCATGCAAAAGTTTATGTATAAAATATTTGTTGCAATAAAAAATTCAACTTAACATTAAAAATATTGCTCTTGACCGTTAAAAACTTCAAAAAAAAACAAGATTCCATTCTTCCAAAGCATCATAATAGATCAGTGAGTCAGATTATAAGTATATTTATTTCCTGAACAGGATATATATAGTTTGCCACGAACTTGGTAACACTCAGAACGAAAAGACATACATTTATGTGTTTTTTTTTTTTTGAAAATTCAGCTTTTCAAAGCCTTATTAAATTCTTGTAAAAAATATATATTTTCCTGCTTCTAATGCAACCCTAGAATCCACAGAAGAAGCTTAAACAAGTCTTTTAGTTTTTGAGCAAAAAATTTGTTTACGAAAGCAGCTTAAAACGCAAAAAAATTGCTCACCTTAGCTTTGATTTGTTTGCCTT